GGCGGCGAGGGCTGCGTTCACACAGGCGTACTGGAGGGCAACCCTCACATCCGAAAGGCATCAGAGGGGTCCGCTGGTCAAAAAGTTAGCCTGGCGAAGGACCCAACCATATGCAGCTGCGAGTATCGCAAAACAGGCGGAAACCAAAGGCGAGGGCTGGCATAATGACTGTGGACTAAGGCGTGCGTGAGAAGGACGGCGCGACGTTGCTGATGGGGTCGCAAAGGTCAACCGCAACGGGTTACATCTGGATGTAACCCGTCACGGCTGATCTGAGCGTTTGTCGGCCTGGCCCAGGGGAGCAGCAGGGCACGGTCTGGGAATCGGCAGGCGGCGGGGCCTTTGGTGGAGCTCCCATAGGGCCACGAGACTTGCGAGGGGTGTGCCAAAATTGTTGGGTGGCGGCATGCGAGCGCAGCCACTGGGGTCTTAGGCGGAGCTCCCTATAAGGCAACGAAGCGTGTGAAGGGTGTGCCAAACGTGGGGGAGGTGGCGGCATGCGAACGCAGCCACTGGGGCCTTCGGTGGAGCTCCCGATGCGGCCACGAAATGTGTGAGGGGTGTGCCACAGGGTGGTGGGGGGGGGCTGGGCATGCGAACGCAGCCACTGTGGCCCTAGGTAGGGCCTATGAGGGCACGACGCGTGTGAGGTGTGTGCCAAAGTGAAGGGGGTGGCGGCACACGAACGCAGCAACTGTGGTCTTCGGTGGAGCTCCTTCTAGGGCCGCGAAACGTGTGAAGGGGGTGCCAGAGTGAGGTAGGTGGCGGCATACGGACGCAGCTCCCTCTAGGGCCACGAACCGTATTAGGAGTGTGCCAAAGTGAGGGGGGTGGCGGCATGCGAACGCAGCCACTGGGTGCTTAGGTGTAGCTCCCTCTAGGGCCACGAAACGTGTGACGGGTGTGCCGAAGTGAGGGGGCGGCCGCATGCGAGCGCAGCCACTGGGGCCTTAGGTGGATCTCCCCATGGGGCCATGAAGCGTGCGAGGAGTATCTCAAAGTAAGGGGGTGGCGCCATGCGAACGCAGTCAATGGGGCCTTCGGTGGAGCTCCCTCTGGGGCCACGAGACGTATGAGGAGTGTGCCAACAAGTGAGGGGGGTGGCGGCCTACGAACGCAGCCACTGTGGCCCTAGGTGGAGCTCCCCTATGGGGCCACGAAACGTATTAGGAGTGTGCCAAAGTGAGGGGGGTGGCGGCATACGGACGCAGCCACTGTGGCCCTAGGTGGAGCTCCCCTATGGGGCCACGAAGCATATTAGGAATGTGCCAAAGTGAGGGGGGTGGCGGCATACGGACGCAGCCACTGTGGCCCTAGGTGGAGCTCCCCTTATGGGGCCACGAGACGTGTGAGGGGTGTGCCGAAGCAGACACGCGAAAGAGGAGGGGAGATGACGGCGATGAATATGACGATGATGATGGTGAAGACATGCGGAAGGCAGAGGCAAGGTTTGGAGGAGGGAGAAGCGGGAGGAGGAGAGGATAAGGAAGAAGACGCGGAGCGCTGCCTCTTCAAAACGATGACCCAACACCACAGGATGGTTTGGAATAAGTCCCGCAGACCCAGCGCACACGCTGGGGCTCTCATGCAGAAGTGTTCCAGGACAGAGCAGGCGAGGGGGACGGCGATAGGTCACCAACACAAGGCGACGCGAATGTGAAGGGGACCCCGAGGGCCACGTGGTGGCGTCACTTTGACAAGGCGCGCAACGATCGTTCGCAGCGACTCCGTTCTCCGCTGGCGCGTCGCTTGGAGCTGAAGAGGTACCAGTGCCAAGGGGAGAGGAGGTGGCATAGTATGGGCACCGAGGCTGCTTCACGAAACATAGGACGCCTAGGGATAGGCCGGGAGGAGGGGAGACGGAGAGAAAGCGTGACATTGAAACGTGCAAATTTACCACGTCGTATGAGCGGCAGACCAAACCCTCGGCTCGGCGGGGACGGATCACTACAAACTATGGTCAGGTGTGCTGCACGGCGGGGCGCGAACCGCAACGGCGTCGCCAACCCCACGTGGATACATCAGATGCTCATCGCCTCCCGCGTGAAGCTTCGCTGCTGAGATATCCTCACTGCCGCCAGCCCACCGCTCCAGCACAAGTGACACCTCTTTGTGACTGTGGCCACTCCTGGGGGGTGGCGAATACTGAGCCGGGAACCACCCGCCAAGAGATTGCCCCGCTGGCGCCCGATCACAGAACTGGTGGTTCCGCGTCTCCGTCGACCGGCAGTGCTCACACATCCGCTTGCCCCACGCATCTTCACGTCCCTTGCAAGCACGCGCAGCCAAGTCACACTCGCGACCGCCATGGCCAGCACCAGCATGCCCACGAAGAGATCACAGCGGCAACGCCCGCGGCTGTCGCAACCTTGGGCGCGTCGGCTTGAGCCCGAATGACTACGGATACGGAGGATAGCGACGGCCTCGACGAAGAGACGAGGAGCAGGAAGACGAGGACGAGGACGAGGGAGGGGGAGCCGGAAGCAGGCGCTGAGCCGTCCTCTGCCGGCTCTGGGCTGCGCGCCAGCCTCGGCGCGGCGGCAGGGCTGCCCGCGCTCTGAGGCTGCGCGCCCACTGCCGACCGGGAGGGGGAGGGTACCTGTGCGGATGGCGCGGAGGGGGGACGGGCGGAGGTGGGGCGGGGCTTCGGAGGGCAGCCTCGGGGCTCGAGCTTCGGAGGGCAGCCTCGGGGCTCAGCCGCCGCCACGAGTGGGCCAGAGCCGGAGCCGACAGACTCGCTGCAACAGTTCTCATCTCAACTCCTCTCTGCGCCCTCCTTCCTGCAAGGTTGCTCTTGCGCGCAATGCGTCGCGCACCGCTGGTCGCGCATCCCGGGACACGTCATATGCACACGCGTGCTCGAGAAAACACATGATGGCGGCCGCCCGATTTCGGCACACATAGATGTCGCAGCCGAAGCCAGAAGGGGGCAGGACTGCACGTCGCGGACGCCGAAGTGCCCACAAGACGCCTGCGGAAACCTGGCCACCCCCGAAACCAACGCCTCAGCCCCCCGACGCTGCCCCCCCCCCCCCCCACCACCCTGGCACCTCCGAAAGGGGCCTGGCCTGCACCAGCGGCGGCTCCCCCTTCTCGCCCACGCCCTCGCCAGAGGGCCCCGCAGCCCGCGCGCCGGGTTCGCACGGCTCCGCGGCCTGCCCCTCCTGATCGGGCACATAACCAGGGCACGGGACTGCAAGATGCGCCTCGGAGGTGGAGAAGGACGGCTTGAGTATTTCTTGGCCGGCGCCAGATCCGAAAGCATGATCTGAACAACGCCATGCCCCGGCGGACAAGAAAGACATCGCAGGCGAGGCTCTCGAAGCGCGACCTTGGGGATCTTGATCCACCAGGGGCATGCTGCTGCCCCACCTCCTTGGGGTAAGATGCTAGGCACGCCAGCGCAGACAAAAACCCTTCAGGTCAGGCTTCCTTTTGACGGCCAATGGGCGTCAGGAATATTGCATTTCGCGCGAGCGATTTCCACTGGAAACAAACAATGAATATTCAGCAAACGCTTATCTGAAATATCAAACACTGTGGGGGCTGCGGTCTGCCCATAGAGACACCTGCGGTCATTACCCCTTCGACACCATATTCATATTGACTGGCTGCTGTGCCAGCGGTTCCAGAAACCGATATGCAACGACAAAACAAGTCCCGCGAAAGCTCCAGTCGAGTCGCTACCGATGGAATTGGCCCGCGGGGCTACTTCGTAAATAGACGCCTTCTCACACCCAACCTTTTCCTTCTTCAGCAGCGCCCCAAGTCCCTGTCCCGATTATCCCTCCGAGCCCCGCCCCTCCCGACGCAACTTGGGACCAAGCAGCCATGGACAGGCCTTAAGACGAAGCCACGACCCGGATAATATCGGATCGGGGCAAATCGGGGATCTCTGGGATCCGACAGGTCTGGAGGATGTCTCGGGCGCCGCGGCCGTTCCAGGTTGCTCTGGAACGCTCTGAGAGCGTCCCCGAACGCCCTGGAACTATTCATCCTGGTCCTGGCGCCGCCCGAAGGCCTCGCCGCCAAACGGCGTGCGCCGTCAACGGCGATGACCGGCTGATGCGTCGTGCGGGTCCTCGGCCGTCTGGTCCACCAGGCTGTCGCCGCCCGCGCCTCCGGTGGCGGTGGGCGCCAGCGGCGGCTCGGCTCCAAGGCGCAGGTCCGGCACCCAGGGGCGGAGCTCCGCGGCCGAGGTGGCCTGGCCACACCTGTCTTCGGCATCTGCCTCCTCTCAGGAGTGCCAAGAAGCCGCCACCGCGCCTTGAGAACGTAGCGGGGCGCCAAGAAACTCATACAGGTGTGAAAGGGGGCTGCAGGTTGTCAAGTTCAGGACAAGAACCCGACGTACTGGAATTATTGGGCATTCCCGGGAGCTCTTGGGTGCGCCCAGGACGTGGCACGTGAACCTCTGGAAGCCAAACTGCTCGAACAATGTTTGCCCCAGCGTGGACCCAGAGCAGTCAGTGATTACACTGTGGATGTGTGAGTCATGTGGCGCAAGCTAGCAACATGTGCTGTGTAAGCTTCGGCTGTGTGGTGTAAGCTGTGGGGTGTAGCGTGCAATATGCGTGTATACATACACACATGACCGATGTACGTGGTGTAGGCTGTGCGGGGTAAGCATGTGGAGCGAACTATGTGGCGCGAGCTATGCAGCCGCTCAGCGCGCGGGGCGGCCACGGGCGGGCACCAGGCAAAACCCCAGCAGGCCCGCCCAGCGCACGAGGCGCCCACGAGGCGCCCACGACTGGGCACCAGGCGAAACCTCTTGACAGGCCAACCCAGCGCACGGAGCGCCCACGGGCGGCAACGTGGCGAAACCTCGGCACACACACACACACGCACGCACACGCACAACCGCAGACACACACAAACACAGACACAGACACAGACGCAGACGCAGACACAGACACAGACACAGACACAGACACAGACACACACACACACACACACAGACAGACAGACAGACAGACAGACAGACAGACAGACAGACAGACAGACAGACAGACAGACAGACAGACAGACAGACAGACAGACAGACACACACACACACTGTATGCGTCGGCGGCTAGACAGAGTAACTGCGCTGGCGGATGAGCTAACTAAACGGGGGCACCGTTGTAGCGAATTGAACCACCATACAAGAGGGGGAAACACACACACACACATACACACACGCGCGCGCGCGCATTTTTGGGCGGCCGCGGCCTCGCGCGCAGCGTCGAGGCGGAGTAAGAACACACACGCACACACACACACACACACACACACACACACGCACACACACGCACACACACACGCACACGAGGCGACCACGAGCGGCAACGTGGCGAAACCTGGGCACACCCACCCATTTCCTTAGATACTATGAGTAAGGACTCCGAAGTGCAAGCGCTGTGTAGAGAACCTCTAACTTTTCGTGTGCTCTTGCCTCACAGGGTGCGCCGGGCCGGCCCAGGACTCCCCCCGCCCTAGATGACGCCACGGCACCCCAATTGAGGCCCACAAGAGGCCTCAAGAGTCACCCGAGAGTCGCCCAGAAGGCAAGGCACCCAAAGAGGCCCCAAGCCAAAGGAACGGTGGCGGGAGCGGCCGCCGGCCACTAGATACTTGGTCTCCGCCTTACCCCTCCAATACCGCCCCTCACTCCTGCTATGGGTGTGGGCAGAAATCTTCAACTCCTGTTCAATCCTCGTCGTCCCACTCCTGGCCAGCGTCCGCCTCGCTGCCGCCACTGCGCCGACGGCAGCACAAAGCCCGGCACCCGTAGTAAAAGGCGCACGCCACCCACCACGGCACGCTCCAGGCCCACTGGAGCAGCGAGTACCAGTCCAGCGAGAAGGACGCTGCAGCCTCATCCGCGGACTGGAGAGGCGCCCCCAGCAGCTTGTCGGCGGAGCAGGTCGGAGCTGGGCACGGAGGGCAGGCGCTGGTGCCCCTTGCTGGAGGCACCCCCACAACAGCGGTATTCTATCAGCAACGGCCGCACAAGTTCAACTAGACACTTGCCACTATCACTAACCCCACCCACCCCTGAGAGATACGCCTGTGCGCCAGCCATCCCGCTGCACGAGAATCAGGCTCGCGTCTTCGCTGTTCAAGCCCCCTCGGCCTAACAAGGTCCACCGCGCAGCGGCTTCGAGCTGTCTCCACAAGACAGGTCATCGAACCGACGCTCCAGCGCCTTGACAATTCCAGTAGCCCTTTGGGCGCAGGTGGTCTAACGAGATGATAATTCCAACCTTCTCCTTTCCCTTCGGGGAGAGGCTTACTTTTCCCCCTGCCCCCTCTCCCTGGGTCTGGAGGGGGCGCTCCGCGAGGCATTTGAACGTCAAAGATGAACCAAGATCGCCCGAAGATGGGCCAGATATCCCAAGATGGCCTCCATTCAAGACTACACAAGATAGCCCGAGATTGTTCAAGCTAGCTTCCAGCATGTCTCCTAGAAGCCCCAAGACCCCTCCAAGACGGTTCCAAGTGGCCACGGAGCCTCCCAAGGACCCCGAGAGGCCAAAATCCTTCCAAAGGCTATCGGGAATCAGTACGTTTTGTCTTCTCGCCTTTTCGCTTCCGACGGGCTCTTGAGGCCTCAAGATGGCTCTAAGATGACCCAGAAGAGCCCCAAGAGGGGCCCACGAGGGCCCCAAGAGCGCCCCAAGATGCACTTTCTCTGCCTCCGAGCGGGGGGGATCATGATTGTTGCCGCTCCCCTTTTTGATCGAATGTCCTTAAGAGCGCCCGAAGCACCAAGGGACCCTCAAGGCTCCCAAGATGGCCCCAAGAGAGCACCAAGAAGGCCCCAGGAGGGTCCCAAGCGGGCCCCGTAATGGCCCTAGGAGGGCCCCAATAGGGCCCCAAGATACCGCCAAGATGCTCCCAGTGCGTGACTGCATGCTGTTACGCATCCCCAATCAGGGCAACTAGACTGGTGATTGTTTTTTTGGTGGGCTGGTAGGGATTTTTTGTTGGCGGCTCCCAGGCGAAGGTCAGGAAGCGGTGCATCGAACGGGGCGCAGAACGAAGATAATTAGCCGAAGAGGCGCATGCACATGCAAGGGACAAAATGACCCAAATTAAGCACCGAAGACCGACGCCGACATCCCAGCGGGCGGGGACGCCACGTCGCAACGAGCGGCGGCAACTGCGGCACAGCGTGGAGAAGTCGCCCAGCGGGTAAGGACGCCACGTCGCAGCGAGCGGCGGCAACGGCGGTACGGCGAGGCCATGTGTACTGTAGCAGCGGGGAGAAGTCGCCCTGTCGGCGCCAATCTCCGGCCGAACGACACACGGGAGCGAGGCCGAGAGGGGGACAAAAAAGGCTGGTAGGGATACGCGGAACGTCAAGAACCCCCCGTGGAAAGAGATCATCAATCATTATGTGATCCATTGGGGGTAACTCGTGTTACGGGGAGGGGGGGTCGGCAGGGGCAGTCACGATAATGGCAGCGGGCGTGCAACCCCCCACAGCGCGCCCGCAGCACCAGCGCAACAATCGCCTGTGTACACTGCAATCCCGACCACGCCTGCGTGCACCATAGCGCCTGTGTACACCACAGTGCCTCTGTACAACTTAGCAGCCGCGTGCACTAACACACCACAGCGCATGTGTACGCCATAGCGCCTCTGTACACCGCAGAAGCCGCATGCGCAACAGAGCTTGTGTACACCAGAGTGCCTGCGTGCATCAGATAGCTTTTGTACACCACGGCGCCTGCGCACATGACAGCAGCCATCTGCACCACAGCGTCACTGAACACCACAGCGGTGCCTACGTGCACAAAGGAGCTCGTGTACACCACACCGCCTGTCCAGACCACAGCAGCCGCGTTCACCACAGCGCCTGCGTACGCCACAGTGCCTCCGTGCACCACAGCGCCCGCGCACTGCACAGCGCCAAATGAGCCAGTCAACAGCTTGCGAGGACCACATTGAGCTCGTGGGCAGCATAGTGCGCCAGGGACGACCCGTGGACGCTCACAGAGGGGCCCTCAAAACGCGAGCGGGGGGATGTGGGTCGGACTGGCTTTCAAAAGTCCCCTGTGATGCACCCAACTCTTTTGAGCCCGGCTGGCCTCTCCGCGTCCCCGTCTGCGACGTGAGCGGGAGCCGCGGTGCAAGGGGAACAGCTCGCAGCACAGGCCCGCTCAGTGCCGGGCACGGAGTGCCTAGTCTCCGTGGCCGGCGCCAGCGCGGCCGAACCAATCGGTGTGCTGGTCCTCCCTGCCTGCGCCGGCGCCGCGGTGGCTCCGCCCAAGGCGCTTCCGTCCCCCGCGGCCGCCGCCACTTCGGCCGTGGCCGCCACCTCAATGCTGGGCGCCAGGTGTTCACCCTCTGTGGCCAGCGCTGGCTTTGCCGACACGTGCGCAGCCGCCCTGCGACCTTTGCCGACCTGTGTGCCGGTCCCGTCGGCATGCGCAGCTGCCGGACCACTGCCAGAATGCCTGGCCTCCGTGGCCGGCGCCAGCGCGACCGGACCTCGCGGTCTGCTGGTCCTCCCGGCCTGCACAGCTGCTGCGGCGGCTCCGCTGGGGTCGCCCATGTCCCCCTCGGCCGCCGATCCCTCGACAGTTGTCGCCAGGTCACGCACCGCGGGCCTGGCCTCCGTGAGTGGCTCTGGCGCGGCCGACCCCTGCGGTCCACCGGGAAGTCTGGCTTGCGCAGCCGCCGCCGTGGCTCCCCTCCAATCGGCCGAGTCCCCGTCGACCGCCGTCGCGGTGGGCAATGCGCCTGCCGGCTGGCCAAGTTCCACGGGTTGGCGGGATGCAAATGGGGGGATAAGTCCAGGGGGGGAGAGAGAGGCGCAACCGAGGTACAAATTGTACCTAGGCCCCACGGAGAAAGTACAAATTGTACCGACGCCACGCAGACAAGGTACAAAGTGTACTTTTCACAACGTCCGCGACATGTGCGAGGATGTTAACGGGGGGGAGAAGGTACAATTTGTACTTGCAACCCGCAGAGAAGGTACAAATTGTACCCCAACAAAACGGTACCAGATACTCATCCCCCCATGTCCTGATCCTCCCATCGCCATCTGGCCGAACGGGTAACCCAGGCCCCGGTGTAGGGCATCGTACGGGGGCCGCTCTTCGACCACTTCTCCCCCCCAACCCCCTGTTTGGACAGAGACAAAGAGTCCCGGTATTCCTAACGGCCAGCCATGCAATGTGTTCTTTAAAAGGTGGTCTCCTGACAGAAGCAGTTTCCTAATACTAGAAAGCCGATGTCTCAAAACAATAATGTCTTGATGTTCCCCACACTTTTTACACAAACCGCAAGATGTTGTTATGATATCTGTTGGTGGGCTTGTAGGCAGGCCAGGACACGTAACGTAGTCACTGATTGACCTGGGCATAAGTCCTGGATCCCCCGCTCTGGGCAACGTCAGGTTTTCAAGTGGCCGCGCCTGCGGGATCGCTGGGCGCAGGCGCTGTCTCCCAGATGCCCGTTCGCAGCGCGCCGAAGAGCCCGCTTACCACCAGCGAGCTCAACGCGAAAGTGCTGCCCACCGGCGCCATCCCGTCTGGCCGTGCCCTTCCCCTCGAGCACGTGGCCGAGGGCGCCCAGGCCAGCACAAATGGGCTGCTTGATCCGAAGCGGTCGGAGTAGCGTATCACCGTGCTTCCAGACTATCGCAAGCCATGCGCCTTCCAATGCATCTCGCACACCCAGAATCAATCATATGCTATGCTGTCCGGATTCCGCCAGCGTGCTGCTGGGCACGGAGTGGGCGTGTCCCCAGGTCCTTTGCCCAATCCCCTGAGCCTCAATCCTCACCCCTGAGGAGTCTTTACGGGGCCAGGGCCCCAAATCGCCAAATCTTCTTGAGCTTCTCGCGTGCCCTCTTGGGGCTCCTGGCATCTTCTCGCACTACTTGTTCGGCTCCAAGAGGGCCTCAGGACGGGCCATAAGGGCCCCGAGTAGCCGAAAGATCGCTACAAGACGCCCAAGATGGCCTCAAGATGGCCCAAGATGCATCCAAGACGCTCCAAGAGGCCTCCCAAAGGCTTCCCACGAGGGCCCCAAGAGGTAAACAGCATTGATTATCCGAAAACATCTTGAAGATGTTTGAGCTCTCGCCGTTTCTGATTTCCGACGCTCCAAGACGGCCCAAGAGGCCCCCACGAACACCCCAAGACGGCCCAAGAGGCCTCCAAGAGGGCCCCAAGACGGCCTAAGAGCGCCATAAGACGGCCCAAGGGGGCCCCTAGACGGCCCCATCAGGGGCCCAAGAGAGGGAACACGAATCGAACACCTGAGCCTTCTGCCTCAATAGGCGCCCAAGAGGCCCCAAGAGGCGCCCAAGAGGCCGCAAAGAGGCCCTCAAGAGTCAAGAGGCCGAAACATGCCCTCAATAAGCCTAAACGAGGCCCCAAGAGGCCCCCAAGAGGACTCAAAACTGCCTCCAAGACGCCCCCGAGAGGCCCCCCACGAGGTCCCAACGAACATCCAATATGCTTCATTCCAAAAACCCAGGCACGGTGGCGGGATAGACCGAAGGCTGATACTCCTTCGCCGAAGCTCCTAAGCTCTTGCAGACAAGGCAAGAAGGTGATAGCTCATGTGATAGTTTCTGTTCGAATACACATCCACATATAGATGGTTATGGCAACACGAATTGCGACAAAGGTGGCAAATGAAACGATCGTCACCAAGAGATTGAAGCATGACAAGCCGAACGTACCACACGAACAGCTGGTCATAAGCGAGCAAGGCACGTGCAATGACGCCGTGGCCTCAGGAAAAAACTGGAGCGCTCAGTGCACGTTTAACCCGTGAGGCCCCAACGGCCAGTCATAACACAGCAAAGAAGCGTCAGGAGCGAGAGAGGTCGAGAGAATGGATCCAAGTACAGAGGAGGCGGGACCACCGAACACACAGCTTGACCGGCCCATGGCTCACCGCACCTTGTACAAGGGGTCTGTGGTGAACACTGACCTTGCAACATATGCTTTAGAACTGTAAATATTGATCCAAATCTCTCCACCCAAAACCTCTTGATGCAAGAAGAAACAGGCAGATTATAGGATATCTTATACCGAATCAAACTCAACGTTCTACAGGTGCGTCCACCCTCCCGCCTCAGCTGGGCGGGTCCAAGCCACAAATGGCAATAGCGAACAAGAGAATGCAAGCATGAGCGAGCGAGAGCAATAACAGGGATAATTCTCGACATCATCCTATAACTCACACCCTTGCTAATATAACTTTCACACAGGAAAAGGAAACGTTGCTAAAGAATGCCTCGGCAAATTCTGCAGCAAACCTCCAGAATATTGAATATTATTATTGGCCCGAACGATCAAACTATCGTCCGTGCACCAAGCAACATATATCAAAGAAAAGAAATCCAATATTCTCTGCTCGAACGGTCAAACTACCGTCCGTGTATCAAACAATAGATATTAATATAAACGAAATCAACGCATCGAGCAACATATACTAAGATAGAAGAAATCCACGCACTGAGCAACAGCAAAAAAACTTTACCTGAGGTCTGCGCACCGAGCAACATATATCAATATATGAAATCTTTACCTGAGCTCTTGAGGGGGTGCTTTCACTCCTCATCTGCAGATGGTAACCAAACATCACTCATCATCTGAAAATGGTAACCCAAATCACTCATCACCCTCACCACCGTTCACATCTGAGCCACTGCCTTGGCTGGCTCCAAGATATCGTCACATATGTAGTAGTGATGATCAGCGCACACGCGCTGCTGACTTGATGATGCTGTATGCAATGTAAACCTTGATGCTCGGGTCGAGATTATAACTCCTGCTCTCGTCTGCGTCCAGTTTGAGACACCGTCCTAGGCAATTTGCATAGTGCTTGTCCTTCGTATAGACCGTCTCGTAGCTGTCGCCCTCGTACTTGCCACTCCTGATTATCGTCGGTCCCATGGTCTCCAGCCACTGCCTCAGTAGAGCACTATCTCCCAGCATAATTGATCCATCTCCCATGATCTCATAGTCCTAGGTCTCTGGATCGGCTCGTACTGCGAGTGTTGTCGTCGTAGCTTTTGGCGTAGCCTTCGCTGTCCTGGAATTGACCTTGAGCGGCTTCTCGGGCAACTCCGGCTTGAACAGGTTGTCGCTGCTTGAACTATCCACCTCCATCGGATCAAACATGTCCTCGTCGTCGTTCTGCTTAGGCTGCATTACGTAAATGAATATGATGATACCCGCGATGATAGAGACTACTGTCACCACCGTAGGAGACATCGAAAGACAAACTCCATGCACTGCAAGCGCACAAAGTTGAAACAGAACTACAACTCGGTCAGGTATCTGGATGGTTCTCTGCGCGCCACTCCTCTCCATTGGGTAGTTGTCCGTTAGCACTTCCGTGTAGAATGCCTCGACGTAGTCCTCGTCTTGAACCTCGTCCTTGTCGTCGTAGAAGCACTCGTCCACGTAGTTGTACGTCTCCACCGGCCACGTAGAGATCTCCTCGTCGCCCTTCCCGGTGTCATCGTACAGCTCCTGCTTGACGCACTTGGCCACCCTCGCGTTGAGCTCGTCTACCTCCTTGTTGGCTGCCACCTTCTCTGGTCCAACAAGCTTTCGTCCGCGTATTGATGGTGCCCTATCATCAGGCCCAAGAGTCCACAGGTTTGATGTAACTATCTTCCTCGCGTAGCCTCCTGGAAGTACTTTCGTCGAACAGTCCGCTAGCATCTGCTCACTCTTGACCCACTTGATGCTGACCTCTTTGAGTGACTGCCGCAATATAGCAGCTTCCAAAGAAAGCCCCCTGTCCGTCATTGAGATCTTCTCCTTTGTGATCGTGTCGTATAGGCTCTTGCACTCGGTCACCGAAATGCATTACACCGGGCAGGTGTCGTGCACAATCTCGGCCATGTCAATCTCCGGGTACAGGAACTCCGCCAGGGTCGACCTTGCCCATATCAACGTGTCCACTGAATCCGCACATGAGTAGGCCTCCGCAGATAGAGTAGATCGCACCACTCGTTGAATCTTGGAAGACTGCCACCCAATGCAGTGCGCCTTGTACTTGTTACTGTGGTCCTCGTTGGTCTTCTGATCGCCCAGCATGATGAAGTGTCCGCGTTGTGATCTGTGCTTCGGCAGATTGTCGAAAGCACTGTCGGTGACATTGATCACCATGGTCTTCCACAGGTTCAGGCCTGCTGAGACACTAATCAGCAAGTCGGTCCGCTTCTGGATCTTCCTGATGGCCGCGTTGCCGTCCTGTAGGTCCTTCACCGTCGGAGCTCCCAGCGTAGATGCCAGTCGGGATGCCTCGAAGGCTTCCTCGAAGCATATCACTCGCGCAGCCCATTGCAGCTGTCCAACTACCATTCGTAGTCCACGATGCTCTGCATGGGTCAAGGCGCTATCTGGTGCCTTGCTGCGCTCTCTGGAGATACGTACAGTCTGCATCGACTTCATGTAGGCCTCCATGGTGACATTGATGCTGCCGTCCTTGTCCTGCTTGTAGGCCCGGCCACAGAACGTCGCCTGCTCTTTCCTTGCGTACTTGACCTCGCCAAAGTCGATCTCCTCCCGCAGATCCTTCATGATCTTGGCTCCCTCCGGGTCGTCCTGTTTGATGCCCATGAGGAAGTCGTCCACGTGCAGGCACATGATCCCGATGATCGTGCCCTCCGCATTGCGCTTGATGAAGGTCGCGGGCTCGAAGCTCAGGCCCTCCCATCCAAGCTTCACGAGCGTCTCGCGTAGTGCCACATACCGCGCACGGGCTGCATCGTTGGTCCCGTAGATGCTCTTGTTTAACTTCAGCAGGTCGCCTGCCTTAACTCCCAGCATGTTGCACTTCCCGAGGTTCGTCGGGATACGGAAGTAGAGCTCGCGTGAGATGGCTTTGCCTTGCAGAAAGGCTCCCTTCACATCTGCGATGACTGGGTCCAAATTGAGGCTTGATACGATGCTGCACAGAAGTGGCGTCATCTGTGCTGAGACTGTAGGTGAGTCCCGTCGTAGCTTGTCGTCAAACTCCTCCTCGTAGCCTCTTCCACAGATCCTGGCCTTCGGCTCGAAGGTCGTGGGGCCCTTATCGGTCCAGACCACTTTGGAGCTCAGGATCTTGTCCGGGTCGACCTTGTCGACTGCTGCTCCTGATATGTGGGTTGCTGCATCGTACTTGCACCGCGTGTTCCATTCCCTCCCCACCGCCTGTTGCATTTTTTCCACTTGAGCTTGTCATCGCCCAGCGTCTTCAAGTTGATCTCCTGATGCTTGTTGGCTCTCGTCGGTTGGCTGCACATCCACTCGGCCACGAACGCCTCGACGAGCAGCGGTGTATCTGCCAGCTGCTTGACTGGCCCAGTTTGCGCCCGGGCTCGTTTGATGCTGATCGGCACATCGTCCAGCAAGAACTCCTTGAGCGTGACTGGGTGCCCCTGGCGCTTGCCCTGCGCAGGCTGTCGCGTACTTGATGATGATGTAGCCGGCTGATCCTGCGGTACCTCTGCTGGTACTGCTGCCGTTTCCTCCGCCTTCTGGCGTTCCTCTATGTGTCTCTGGATCCTGGCAGGTACTCGAAGCTGAGCTCGATCGTCCTGAGCGTCGTCCCGCTTGGTCTGCTTGAGCTTCAGGTCCTTCTTGGCGTGCTTCTTGCCTCCGCGCTTCACCTCCTTAGGTCCCTCCATGGTCTTGTCAGTGTTGG